ATTAAGAAGCACCCTTTGGCTCTTTAGGTGTAGCACTTTCGAAAGCAGTTCGGTTGCCCTCCGGTTCTTGGACCCCTTCTTCCTCAGTGGATGCAGGTTGAGTCATAGTCGGTTAGTTTAGTGCCTCCGTCGGAGACAGGTCCGAAACGCGACTGCGGCTCTTAATCGTTTTCTTGCTGCTGTCCGGTATTCGCTTGCACCCGTTCTATTTAAGCATGGCCTTGAGGTCCTCTACGAAGCACTGATCTCCCTGTTCGGACGGGTCTGGAAGGAACAGGTCATCCCAGCTAACTGGGGTGAATCGATTATAATGGTAATGTGCAGGAAGGGCAGTCGCACCGATTTTGTTAGCCACAGGGGTATTGACCCAACGCCACTAGTGACAAAATTGCTGATCTCAGTTCTACTTTTTCGCATCTCTGCGAACTGGAATCCCTGATTAGGGAAGGGCAGATAGGTATCCGCCCATAGATCATGTATTCACTCTGCAGCAGGTACTAGAGCAGCGCAACTCGTACCGCAGGCCGACAGTAGCTGTGTTACCCGACTCACTCGATCGATCATTCCTGTCCGAACTACTTGCACCGAAAGGTGTTCCCATGAAATATGTAAACATTTTACTTGTCCTGTACTCATACACCGCAAGTCGCGTCATGGTCTACGGTGGCTTGTCAGATATCTTTCCGACCACAAGTGACGTTCGTCAAGGTTCTCCATTTTCCCCATTTTTCCTCGACTTCATTGTTGACTACATCATGGAGTGTTCCCTTGCGGATCCTCATGTTGCAGGTGTTGTGCTGCTGCCTGGTGGAAAGCTAATTGATTTTGATTAACGATGTTGTGGCGGTATAATCAACCCTGCATAACCTCTTTATAGTGGTTCCATCATTTAGCATGCGTGTCAAACGTTGAATTGCGCGTTGTTATAGGACGCTCAGCCACTTGATGACCCTGACTCATGATGGCGAGGAACTCGAGGTAGTTGATGAGCTCACTTACTTTGCAGATGCATCAGCAACAATGGGTACATAACCACAGAAGTTAGTTCACTTATTGCAGAAGCTAGGACTGCCTTCTTGAATCTGCGACATCTGTGGCGTTAAAACGGACCATCCCTCGCTTCGAATGGTCGTGTTTATAAGGCTACAGTGAGAACTGTCTTACGGGATAGACTGAGGGGTACTGAGAAACTAGTAGGTGAGCTTTCTCGTCATCGTTTTGAATCACGGTGATTTCCTCGTCAGAGGACAGAGCAGAAATGCCACTGTCGCCCTTGGTGTTTCGCTTTAGGCACGAGAAAAGTTTCCTCGGGCAGGTTCGGGATTGTATGACCAGGCTCTGCTCATTTTGAGCCCGTTACTGGCTATTTTAGAATACACTGGATTCTAAGCACCTTGTACCTCAAGTACTCTGGCTCGCCGATCAACCTCCTCGTGGTGCCAGCTGGGTGGTTCGGGATTTTCCCGTTCCAGCAAATGGTTCGGCGGCAGTGTTCCAGGACATGGTGGGTTTTCGCCTGGCAAGCGTTCTCCCTATAAAAAGCCACATATGTCCGTTTAATAACACTGACGTGGCGGACGTGACCCGCCATTAAATAGAGTCACTGTCCCTTACTTCATCCTCACGAAGCATTGTATTCCAGTAAGTCTATGCTGTAATTTTGGGAAGCATTGGGCCCCTATTTGTCGAAGGAACAAACGAATGGCGTATGAAATGAGCAATCAGTCACTGGCTCCCAATTAGCGCGATTCCTTGAGTTCGCTCCGCTCCCTTGCAGGCAGGCTATTCAGCCAAAGGCTCTGGGTGGTGTCCCCTAAGTCAACACCCTACTTGAGCTTGGACAACCGGGTAGTATCTCGCCCTCTGACGAAACCATGGACATTGTTGTGTTGTGTTTTCCTTTACTATTTCTGTACCCCCGTTTGAATCCCGTGGTTTCTGATGGCATTATGTCTATTCGTAGACCTTTGCAAATATATATATATATATATATATATATATATATATATACATATATATATATATATGTATACTTTGACGTTACTTCTGTAGACTTGAATGTCTCACCGTTTGCTTCGTTTGTTCATCAGATATCTTATCTCTCTTTCGGTACTTTTTCGATGACGCACTTCGTCATGGTCTAGGGGTTGGTGGATACTGCAGTCTGTAGTGCTTGCCGCTTCGTGTAATCTAGATGCTACTACATGCCAGACGTTACCACGATGTTCCCTGGTCTTAGATGGCAAGACGGTGTGCCCTCGAATAGGAGGCTGTACAGTGGTCACTTCTGCCAAGTGACACAATTCCTTGAATTCGCGGGCAGACTATTTAGCCAAAGGCTCGGGATGGTGTCCCCTAAGTCAACACCCTACTTCGACTTGGGCAACCGGGTAGTATCTCGCCCTCTGACGAAACCATGGACTTTGATGTGTTGTGTTGTGTTTTACTATTCCTGTACCTTGTTTTGAGTTCCATAATTTCCGATGACTCAACGTCTATTCATAGACTGTTGCGATATATATATATATATATATATATATATATATATATATATATATATATATATATATACTCCGATTACAGACAATGTACTGTCAGAACCATGGCGATATGAAGTGGGAAAATGAAATACCACATGAGAAAACAATATTTTAGGATTTACACACGCCGTTTTCAGGGGACTGATTCGGGTTTTCACATAAGTCCCTTGGCATAGACAGCGGACTATAAAGGAAAGCGTAAGGCAGTATTTGCCATTTCCACAAGAACGGTTGCCACCCTCGTTCTGACTCCAACCTAAGGCACTGGCAGACTTGGCATGTCTGACCTTTTTTGACAAATTTGTTATGAGAAGACGAATATTGGCAGATGCTAGGATTTCGTATTATCTCCTCAGTATCAACACAATAACAGGGAAATCCTTTTATGTCTGTATATATATATCTTTACATGTAAGACATTAAAGGATTTCCCTGTTATTGTATTGCTACGCATGCCAACCCACCGACCCCCTCGACGTGCGTTGTTTGCTCACCGGGGATGTGGGTGGAAGAAGTGGAGAGGTGGTCAAGCGATGACTTGGTCCAGGGGACTGAAGTCCCTCACTTCGGAGCTAGCGTCGGTTGGAGCGTCACGTCTCCCTGGTTGGAGTCCAAAAGACGGTGAACACGTTTGGCTGGATGCACTTGCTGACATGGCAAGGAGCCGATCTCAGTGGCGTTCCTGCTGTGAGTTTCTTTGTCCCTCCCCATCCATTTTAGCCTCCCCCTCCATCTACGATCTCATTTCTTAGGGTAAAACATCATAATTCTTTTCTTCTTTTTGTCTAGTAGCTGGCTGGTAGCTTACCGGAACGATGCCTATCCGTTGCTGGTAGCTCAGCTGACATGCAACTGTTGTATCTATTTTTCTTTGTGTATTGTATTATATGTATGTATGAATTTCCTTCATGTGTTGCGGCACAATAGCGGAGGTGTTTTCCCACCTCTAGCTAATATGTATAATAATGATGATGATGATGGTACTGACGAGATAATACGAAATGCTAGCATGAGCCACTATTCGTCTTCTCATTTCGTTGTTTAAACTACTAAAGGGAACTAACTGTTTTAAATTTGTTATGGTTGGCTCGTAAAATGTCCAAGGACACTCGCTACTCAGGCATTCGATGAATTTGATACGTACAAGAACCTTGGCGACACGTTGCAAACCAGTTTTGTTGTTGTTTTTCCCCTTACTCAAGTCAATTGGTGATGTGAGACAGTGAAGACCGAACAGCAGTTGCTTCATAGACCCTTTCCTCCTAACACAATTAATTTCGCACACAACCGTTTCTGGCATCTTAACGGTCACCACATCCGTCTGGCGACAGTTTCCATCTGCAGTTAAAATATGTCACATTCGTAATATCACTTTGTGTGCAATCTCCATTAGCCTCGTGTATAACTTATACTTCTCACACATTTGCACTGTTCCATTGGGATCTTCCCCTCAGACCAAACCACCTAACTCACTTTGGTTTTTCCCTCAAACCTATGGCATCAAAATGTTTTGGAGTTTGCTGAAGCTCCGGTATATTGACTTTCCACTCCATACGTATTTTACGAACCCTTTTTATTCCTTTGTCTTATACTATTTGACAACACACTCGCCGTGTGTAGGCCTTTTGACTACATTTGTGGCACTCAATACTGCTAACTTAGGCTAAGTACTGTCGGAACTTTTATGACAATCTAACCGGCATGGTTTTACAAACTATTAGTGTGCTAACAGCGGTCATATTAAGTACTTCAGCTTAATGACTGTATTTGAGGACAGTTCCATGTTACTAATGTTCCCGGTGTAAATTTGTGCCGAGATGTTTAACTACTTTTCGATTAGTGAAACGCAATTGCCCCGTTACTCAACCTGTTGTTACAGCTGAAAAACGGTATTTTAAAACAGACCAAAGAGAGGTCGATCAGCTAAATGTCCGTCAAAGGTGAACGTTAGAATCATCCACTGATTTCCCGACTTTGCAGCATCAAGCAAGGCTTTTAACCACTGATGGCTTTGTTTCCGTGGCCGATACACTGTCCTGGTGCTACCAACTATGTCACTTTTCCATCTTATTGTATGACTACTCTGAGGTTACATTAAAACGGGCATACAGACAAAGCGTGTAGAAGAATAAGCCTAGTCTGCATAACCGGTCTACTTTCGGCGAGCGGCATTGTGCGGTCACTGGTCAGCTACTGAATACCAGCCTCTAGGATGTTTTCTATATCGCAATAATGAGTAGGCACCGATTCACCCCAATCTTTTACACTAAGAAGCTTAGTATGAAGTTCAAATACTTAATTTTCGATAATTTCGGTTACTTAATTTAAAGAACATAAACTTGAGCGAGTCGCGCTTCAAGTCGGAGCTTGACAATCCCTCCATTTGATTTTAACTTGTTTGACTAAAGCATGTTATTTTCTTACGCTGCTTATGTTTATCTTTTCCCTGTGTACCAATAGTCTGCTTGTGAACGAGGATGCGTATACGCGTATGCGTTGACTAAGGCACCTAAGTCTTCTCCATTTAACCCATCCTGTACTGATTCATGCAAGGACTTTTACTCCAACTCGGTCGAGGAAGTGAAAACCTGTATCTTTGGCTGCAATGGCTATATCAACAGTGGCGAGAAACCTCAAAATAGCTGGTTCAGTTCTATCTTGGAGTAAGTTCTTTTTCCGATAACATTCATTTTGCAGCCGTTTTAGATCCCTTATTGGCAAAATAAGCGGTCAACTGACATGTAAGTTCATTAATACAACATTTAACGTACTTACTGTGTAACTTCCATGCGTGACCGGGCTTTCTCCCTTTCAGTCTCACAGAACACCGCTCCTGAAACTCAGCCGATTTCGCAGCCTGACGATCAATCTATCGTGACCCGCATTCGAATCTTTTATTTCGGTGAGTCTTTTGAGTCGTTTCCGATAGGCAGCAGATATCGGGGTCTCCAGTGTTCGAACCAAACACGAGGATGATGATGTGTCAACTGTACGTCGTAACGGCGCTTCGCTGCCTTGCGACCACCATCAGTCGCACGCGTGCTGAGTTTACCGCGAGGACGCCCACCCCTACGCGTATTCGAACCTGCGCCGCAAGATTACGAGACTAGCTCGTTACCTCTAGGCTACGGGCCGACCCAGTCACAAGGTGAGTCACGTGGACTGCAGCCTGGAAGACGAGATGGACCGACCACATCCAGCTTGGTCGTCAGTGACTTCATTTCCCTCTGCCATGTTGATTTTTGCCCACTTCGCTTTTTGCGGCACCCTACATCCGTGAACGGTGACGGCACAAACCTAGTGCATGTCCAAGCCAACGCAACCTATTCATTGCTATCTGTTGTTCTAAGCAACTAGCCTGATGATGATGATGATGATTCAGTCTCATTTTCCTGCCTTTGCTTTTCGTTATTCTGATGATGTGGATCGTTGCAACTGTATCCACTGCGCTTCGGTGCCGGGATCATAGTTTACTTGAATTTAAGTGAACTGGAGCGCGAAAGCGGAGACAAGTCGCTCTAATCAGATGTTTTCGACCCCGACCTCTCTGATTGGCCAATCAAGAAGACGAGACTTCGGTTCCCAGTTTACTAGCCACAAATCACAAAACATTTCATGGCTCAGATTAGTTTTGTTTATATACTCGCACTGACCCTTAATATTCACTATTCCATTTCTTAATTATCATTAATTGTATCGGTGTGCGAGAACACTATGATTCACCCATGGGACTGTACCACATGATTTCAGGAAAAAGGTTAGCTTTTTATCGATCTATGGTTAACTGATCGGTTCCTTACAAGTAGCTCCTCCCAACACTACAAATATCCGGAAGAGCCAAAGACAAGCTCTCTGATTTGTTTGATTACACATTTCGCTAAATTGGCAATTCGTTTTGGATCCAACGCACTCTGGTTTAGGTGGTAAAACGTTTGACGCATATCCTCTGAACGCGAGGTGTCGAGCATCTTGCTACATGCATGTTACGCACCCGTGCTGCTGAAAAATTAGTATGTATTCGTTTTACTTGTGTCACTTCGACCCGAGATTATTTTTACCACTGATGGCTTCGTTATTGTTTCTGGGATAACCCACAACATAGGTATTTTTTCTTCGACTTGTATAATAAGATTACTCGGATTTTTCAAAGGATACCTAAATGCTGGTCTAGTCAATTCTATTGGACTTTGTGATGTGTTCGATGGAGGCTGCGAACTGGCTGCCCCACTGATTTTCAGTTACCACGATGACCTCTGCCACTATCGGATAGGTTCTCCTGTCTGCTTCTTACCTGTGATTCCCAGCCCTTAAATGACTGCGTTCCCCACTTCTCGACCAGGCGGCATCCGCAAATTAAGTTACGATTTTTGCATTTCTCCGTCCCTAACCCTGCACTTGAACTGTGGCATTTTGACTTGTTTTAGTATTTTGTACGCGGTTATTCATGAAACTGGGTTAACAAATCGTTTGCCGTTGGAACTGTGTCTTCGTAATGCTGTTTTGACTTTCTAACCTCTGTTCTCCATGTTATCGGCACAGTCCCTGATGTCTTGCTCTATACACGGATTCAAGCTTGGCCCACAACCGTTTCCGTAGTCTTCCCTGATAGCACATGACTGAAGAGGCGAACAGCTTTGTCTACTTGGGGAGCTGGATTGGTAGCACTATTAGAAGCTTTTCTCTTCGCATCACCGAAACCCAGTCTACGCCAGTCAAACTGAGACATTTGTTGCGTCGTCAGGGCGTCCCTCGTTGAAACACTGCAGTAACAGCACCTCGGTTTGGGAGCTGTTGTGTGTAAGCAAATCTTTGCCAAATCGGCTGCCTGGCATGCTTTGGTTATCGGTTTTCGATGCTGTGCATCTCAGGATCGCATGCCCGTAGAAGTGTCTGAATGGTTCACTCGTCTGCTTCGTAACCCGCAGGTCGCAAGTTTGATCCTACATAGGTGTTAGTGACCTCGTTTCGGCTTTGGCAACCGGATAGTATTACGACCAGTGACCAATCATGGGATATACAACGGCTTTCACCCTTGCTATGTCTATTGACTCTACTGACCATTGCTCAACGTACACTCGCTGATCGCCCCAGATTCCGTTCTTCAACTACACGCACCTTTATGTCCTCCCCAGTCACCATCATCCACGACTCACTGGTCGCGCTTGATGGAAATGAAAAATCTTGTGTCCGTGGTCCGGCGGTTGCAGCCGTCTCATACTCCACCAAGGCCGCAACTTTCCCTCAACCTGATTTTCTATTCGGCCTCGCAGCGTTCAATGTTCGCACTCTGATGCATGTTGAATAACATGCATGGTTGGCCCATGCCCTTGAGATGCTTTCGGTAAACACCTGTTGCCTTTCAGAAACTAGATTGCATGACTCTATTGCCGTCATTAGAATGACCGTTCCGAAAAACCCTGACGTCGACAACCACTTGCAGGCTTCTGCGGACCTACAGATATCTGCTTCTTGCCAGGCTGATGTTTGAGTTGCACTGAATACCAGAACTGAGACTGGTCTGCTTGACTTGATCTTTGTTTACTGTCGGCTATACGCAATCATACTAGGAGGTTCATGTAATGTAAGCGAGCGTTGAAATGTTAAGTGTGCCTTACTTGTCTTCTCCACTGTCGTCAAAAATTCGTTTTTACCAACAACTACCGGAGATTTCAACACAGGATTTTGCGGTATTCCAACAAGCATTTATCATCTGAGGAATACTTTTGGCCTCTGTAGCAGTTGATCAGACAATGGAGATCGCTTGTTACTTCCTAAGAGACGAACTGCTACGCTGCGCCAGCTGTCAAACGCAAGGGTGGTTCCAGCTTGACCACATGGTAATAAGTCAACGATGACGCGAGAGCGTAACAGATTGCCTATCGTACTGCTGTGCTTGGTTCATGCTGAGGTTTGCAAACGTTTCGGACCATGGCCAAGGCGTACACACAACCGACCGAACGCTGCAACTCTACGAAACCCTACGACCTTAACCAGGTACCAAGCCTCACTGTCAACGCTGACTGGCTCAGCTTCTGGCGATCGCCCACGAATGCGAAACCTGATTTACTCGCATCATCAACCTGCGCCGACTGTACGATTTCGAGCACCGCTGATGCATAAGAATCTGGAAGTTACAGCGTATCCTGAATGTAGATAGCCATTCGCTCGAGGAGCTCGTCTTACTGCATCAACTGCGGTGCCTTGGACACATATTGCGCATGGTACTTCACTGTTTTCTGCGTCGTGCTTTGTTTGTGGTTGCTGGACGGCTGCAGACCGCGATGCAGTAGACAGCCCACAACTTCTTCATCATCATCAATAAACACGTTAGCTAGAGGTGGGAAACATCTCAGCTACTGTGCCGCAATACATAAAGGAAAAGGAAAATTAATACGACAGTTACATGCCAGCTGAGCTATCAGCAACGGTTAGGCATCGTTCCGGTAAGTTACCAGCCGGCTACTAGGCAACAAGAAAAAATATTATGTAAAATTATATTGCGCTGCGAAATGAGATCGTGGTTAGAGGAGGAGGCTAAAATGGATGTGGAGGGACAAAGAAACTCACAACACGAACGCCACTGATGTCGGCTCCTTGCCATGTTAACAAGTGTATCTAGCCAAACGTGTTCATCGTCTTTTGGATCCCAACCAAGGAGCCGTGACGCTCCAACCAAGGCCAGCTCCGAAGTGAGGGCCTTCATTCCTCTCGACCAAGTCATCACTTGGCCACTCCTCTTCTTCTTCCATCCACACCCTCGGTAAGCAACCAACGCACGTCGAGGAAATCGGTGCGCTGGCATGCGCAACACGTGGCCCAGCCATCGGAGCCTGGTGCGTGAAATGACGGTGCTCAGCGGTTCAGTTCCTTTTCCTGGGCCGTAAACGAGGCGTCGAACACGCTCGTTACTCACGCGGTGTTCCCACCAGATGTGAGCCAAACTGCGAAGGCACCGATGGTCGAACGTAACTAGCCTCATTATGTCCGCTGATCTTAGGGGCCAGGTTTCGCAACCTTACAGTAGGGCCAAACGTACCGCTGCATTGTACACTCTACCTTTCAGGGCGAGAGTGATGTCGCGCCGTCGCCATGGGTGGCGAGGGCAACCAAAGGCACTTCGAGCATTTGATATACGGTTCGTGATCTCATCTTCAATCCCGAAGGGCGCCGATACAACTTCCTAGGTAGTTGAATTTCTGAACGACTTCTAGCTGATCCCCAACAAGGGTCAGCAAAGGAGGCGGTCCTTGCCAATCTTGGAGGATCGCTTTGCACTTCGCTGGTGCAAAGCAAAGCCCGAAGCGGCTGACAACCAGTGCTAATCTGTCCAGCGCGGCTTGTCACGTCTGGAAGCTGTCACAGATTAGGGGCAATATCGTCAGCATACTCCAACAACGCTTCCAGACATAGCAGAGCCTCCGAATTTGAAGAGGGCTGGATGAAGATCATCTGGTCCCGCTGCTTTGTTCAACCCCAACGTTCGACTTCTGAGCGAGAGAGTGGATCCAGAGTGACATCCCACGGGTCAGGGCGATCACTGGCCGGCGAGGAATCGAACGTTTCTGACCGATTAAATTGCTTTTCAAAATGCTCAGTCCAACACTCCAAACGTTTTGACAAATTGTGGATAGGCTGTCCACTCTCGTCACGTATGGTTTCACTAACACCAGGTCTCCTGCTGCCCGTTTCCCGTATCAGACGGAATAACTTGCGATGGTTACCAAGGGCAGCGGCCACTTCCATCTCTGATACACGAATAGACCACCAAGATTCGCGGTCTCTCTTCAGGTTAGCATGGAGTCTTGTCCGGGGCTCTTTGCGAGTTTCATTGTGTTCGCTTCCATCCGGGATATGCCGACGAGCATCGATAAAGTTCAGAGACCGCGAAGAGACCACATGAGG